GAGCCGCCTGTCTGTGTCCTCAGGGAAAGACCACGTGTGCCGGTTCATTGGCTGCGGCCGGAACGAGAAGTTTAACTACGTGGTGATGCAGCTCCAGGTGAGTCCGCGTGGCCCACGCATCCTCCCTCCAGTCACCCAGGGGCGTGGGCTGCCACTCCTGTGGGGGCAGTGGGGAAGGGAGACTGCGGCCCCGGGAGAAGGGGGAGTGGGCACAGCCTGGGGAGCGAGGCTTGGCAGAGTGCCCAGTGATGGTGGGTGGCACAGTGGTGGTGTGTGAGGTGGCCGCTGAGCAAGGCTGCCCCCCCCCCGCCCCCAGGGCCGGAACCTGGCGGACCTGCGCCGCAGCCAGCCGCGAGGCACCTTCACGCTGAGCACCACGCTGCGGCTGGGCAAGCAGATCCTGGAGTCCATCGAGGCCATCCACTCCGTGGGCTTCCTGCACCGAGACATCAAGCCGGTGAGGGCTGCCCTGCCCCACACCCTCCCTCTCGGGGCCCCTGGCTTCTCCTCCATCCCAAGCCCCACCTCTGCCTCTTACCTGCCTCGCAGGAGCACACAGCCCTGTCCATCCTGGGCCATGCCCGTGCCCTCTCCTGTACTCTCCCTTTCCTTCGCCCCCGACCTGAAAAGTCCTTGAACTAGAAAGGTGAAGCGCGGGGAAGCACGGGGGCATTGAGGGACGGGGACCAGGGCTGGGCCTTTGTCAAGAACTCCAAGTAGCTAAGTTTGTGACATCTTGGCTCTTGGCTGAGAAAAGTGTCATTCTTAAGGGGTGAAAGCGGGGGCTCGGAAAGGGTGGTTGAACGGCCCAAGGTCACAGAGCAAGAGCACTGTAGGTGCCCTACTCCTTAGTTAGACTAAGCCTCCCTGTCCTACTGGGGAGCCCCAAGGATTTAGAGGCAGGCAGACCTTGTTTCAGCTGTCAGCTCAGCCATCAGTGGCCCCTAAGCTCCTCGGCCTTCATTTTCCCATCTCTAAAACGGGGAGGATCCCCCCGGCCCCTCAGATGAGGTGCTGTGCCGGCTGCAGGCTGGCGCTTTACTCTTGTGTGAGGGTAGGTGGGCCGAGGGTCCCCCACCCTGTTTCCCGGAGCCCCATGAGGTGAGCCAGGCAGGGGCGGAGCCCAGCTCACACTGCTGTCTTCCTGCAGTCGAACTTCGCCATGGGCCGGCTGCCGTCCACCTACAGGAAGTGCTACATGCTGGACTTCGGGCTGGCCCGGCAGTACACCAACACCACGGGGGACGTTCGGCCCGTGAGTACCGCCTCACAGCCGTCCTGGCCTCCTGGGGACCTCACCCGGCTTCCCTGTCGCCGCCTGACCAGGCCCGGCTGGTGTTGGGTACCAGCAGCTCCCCACTCTGGGTCCACACCTGGCCATCCCCTCGCTCCCTCAGCCTGGGCTCTGGATGGCTGCCACACCCACACTCTGTGATCTGTCTGCCCCCTCTGGTCAAGGATGGACACGGGCAGGAGGCAGGTTTAGGACTGAGGTTGGAGTGTCAGGTTTGCTCCTGACCAGGCCAAGGTGACGGGAGGGGGATGCCTGGGGAGGCAGTCACGGTTCGTGTAGGCAGAGGTGGGCGTGGTGAGCAGGGCTGGGCAGGGCCAAGGTCGGGGCAGCAGGTGAGGGTCCTGGTGGTGTTCTCTCCTCTGCAGCCTCGGAACGTGGCCGGGTTTCGGGGGACTGTTCGGTACGCCTCGGTCAACGCCCACAAGAACCGGGTGAGTGGCAGAGCCAGGCCTGAGGGGCGTCGGGCAGTAAGGTCAGGGGCAGAGTGTGCTGCTGGGGGAGAGGGTGGGGTGGGCAGCTCTGCAGGTGCGGAGAGAAGGGTGGGGCCGGGGCTGGAGGCTGCCATCCCAGCGACCCCAATTGGAGGAAGGTTCTGCCTGCGACTTTCCCTTCTTCCTTGTTTGTGGGGCTCCTCTCCTCTCCGTTCCCAACACACATCTCTGTGGGGTGAGAAAGCATATAGAAGTTTTTAAAAAACAGATATGTTTTTATTGATTTCAGAGAGGAAGGGAGAGGGAGAGAGAGATAGAAACATCCATGATGAGAGAGAATCATCGATCGGCTGCCTCCTGCACGCCCCCCACTGGGGATCAAGCCCGAAACCTGGGCATGTGAAACCTGGACCAGGAATTGAACCGTGACCTCCTGGTTCATGGGTCGACACTCAACCACTGAACCACCCTAGCCAGACAGCACACACAGAAGTTTTGACTGTGATTCTCTGTGGGCTGGCCGATCGGGGAGAGAGCCATGGCTTCAGGGAGACCTCAGTTGTGCCCATAGACGCCTGGGTGTCAGGCCTCCTTGACTGAAGTGCCTCAGTGGAGGGTCAGCCTCCTGCTCCCAGGGAAGGACCTGAGGGCTGTGGGTAACGCCCCCCCATCTCTCCACCCCCAGGAGATGGGCCGCCACGATGACCTGTGGTCCCTCTTCTACATGTTGGTGGAGTTTGCGGTGGGGCAGCTGCCCTGGAGGAAGATCAAGGACAAGGTGAGGCCTGCGCAGCTGGGTCTGAGGCGGCGGGTGGGGGTGGGGCAGCCGGGGCTCCATCTCCCTGTGCCTCTCGCCTCCAGGAGCAGGTAGGGATGATCAAGGAGAAGTATGAGCACCGGATGCTGCTGAAGCACATGCCCTCTGAGTTCCACCTGTTCCTGGACCACATCGCCAGCCTCGACTACTTCACCAAGCCCGATTACCAGGTGGGGGAGCCTGCCACCCGCCTGCGTCCCCGGACACCTCTCTGTGGGCGACCGTGGCCAGCAGCACCCTCCTGCGGAGGCCCGCGCCCCTGCCGGCGTGGCCCTGACCGTCTCCCCCTGGTCCTCCAACTGCACGAAACTGTTTTGCACTCTCATGAACAGTAGGCATAGCTAAGATTTATCAAGAGCTTACCCTGTTTTCCGTGCTTTTTGTGCATTTATTTAAGTTTCAAAACAAGGCTTTGGTGATCATTGTGTGTTCCTTATGTCACTGTTTCAGCATTCAACAATTAAGCCAAGTGCTTTCAAGCACTTTACACCAAATCTCTGCAGGAGTCCAAGTGGGGTGACTGTGCCCATGTCACAGATGGGGAAACTGAGGCCTGGTAGCCTGGGTAGGAGCAGGGCTGGCCTCAGGCACATCGGACTTCAAGTCCAGTGCTCTTTCCAAGGCGCCACCCCACGCCCCTGTAGGACCCATGACCCTGATCAGAGAGTGGGGAAAACAGCTGAGCACAGAGCCCTGGTTGCTGGCAGAGATGCCACACTTGGGCAGTAGGAGGCCATACTGTCCCCCCCTTGCTTCCCCGCACCCAGTTCTTAGCTCAGCCTCATGGGGTCCCCCAGACCTAACGGCTGAGAGCACACCCTGTGCTGGGCCCTGTGCTGGCGGCTACAGTGTAGAGTTGGCAGGTGGGTGTGAAGGTGGAGCCCATGCACTGTGCCCAACCAAGGGAGCTGTGTGGTGGGGGACCCAGGAAGGCCTCCGAGAGGAGAGGCGGGCGGGAGGCATTGCAGCAGGAAGCTGCCCGTGCACACCCCTGACCCCAGGTGGTGGGTTGGGGAACTACAGTGGTTTGGAGCTGCTGTGGCTTCTGCTGAGATGCTGGAAATAGCTGAGGAGTCTGGAGCGGTCACAGGGGGCAGGTCTCAGGGGGCTTAAACCAAGATGATAATTTGCATGCTGATCTGCATATTGTGTGCATGTTTTCACTCAAAAATCAATGTGCCCTTCTCCTTCCAATGCCTCCTCTTGGCCCTCCCTGCCCTGGAAGGCCCCTCTCTCCCCACTGCAATCCCGCAACTGCCCTCCTCCCGGGAGCCCAGGGTCACCTCTCTGTCCTCCCGCCACCCCCGCCCCTGCAGCTGATCATGTCGGTGTTTGAGAACAGCATGAAGGAGAGGGGCATCGCGGAGAACGAGGCCTTCGACTGGGAGAAGGCTGGCACGGACGCGCTCCTGTCCACGAGCACCTCCACCCCGCCCCAGCAGAACACGCGGCAGACGGCAGCCATGTTCGGGTGAGTCTGGGAGGGGCGATGGCTGGGGGGCCGTATGGCCTCTGCCCAGAGCTGCCTGCTCTCTCCTCTTCCCACCTGGGCACACCTGGCCGCCTCTCCTATTCTTGGTGCTCAACAGCGGGGTTCAAGTCCCAGGAAGTTCTGCCACATCTGCACCCTCAGTCGGGTGCAGCGTTAGGGCCTCATTTGGGGCTGCTGACCTCAGGGGGGACCAGGAAGCCCCAGTGAGACTGCGGAGCCCACAGTGTCATTTCTCCCGCTCACGGGTGTTCACTCCGGGAACATGTCGGAGGCCCGCCCCGCCCCCCGGGGTGCAGAGGTAAACCCTGAGGCTCCCAGTGGAGTTGAGGGTATTTGTAATGGTGGGGAGCCATGTCAGCACCTGTGACAAGCACAAGGAGAAGGTGGCCATGTCCCCCCACCCCCAGGGAGAGGCAGGCAAGGCTCCGGGCACACCTGTGGGAAGGGGACTCCGCAGGACTTGTCAGCACGTTATGGTGCTCAGATCTATAAAGACGTCGCTCAGATGACTTCACAGTGATCCTTCTCTTTAGACCCACTCCTGGACTAAAGCAAGCCAAGCAGCGAACGCAGTGGGAATCCGGCTGGGCCTGCCTGGGAAGCAGCTGGGTTTTTCTCTCTTTTTATATATTTTTACTGATTTCAGAGATGAAGGGAGAGAGGGAGAGCGAGATAGAAACATCAATGATGAAAGAGAATCATTGATCAGCTGCCTCCTGCATGCCCCACACTGGGGATTGAGCCTGCAACCCGGGCATGTGCCCTGACCAGGAATCGAACCGTGACCTCCTGGTTCACAGGTTGACGCTCAACCACTGAGCCAGGCCGGCCGGGCGGGATCTCTTAAACAGAGCGAGGTGGTTGTGCCCGTCCGGACAGCCCCATCTCACAACCCTCTGGCCTCAGAGGTTTTGTGAGCCGGGGTGGTGACGGGCCGAGGGCTACCCTCACCCCTGCGGGGGCCTCCCCGGTGCCCATGCCCATGCCCATCTGGCAGTGATCTCCAGGGCCAGTGCTGGCAGGAGAGGGCACCCATGCCAGCCTTGCCCATCACCCCTCCTGGCCTCTCCAGGGTGGTCAACGTGACGCCGGTGCCTGGAGACCTGCTCCGGGAGAACACGGAGGACGTGCTGCAGGGCGAGCACCTGAGCGACCAGGAGAACGCACCCCCAATCCTGCCTGGGCGGCTCCCCGAGGGGCTGGGCCCCGGCCCCCTTCTCGCCCCCCACCCCGGGGGCCCCGAAGCTGAAGTCTGGGAGGAGACAGATGTCAACAGGAACAAACTCCGGATCAACATCGGCAAAGTAACTGCAGCCAGGGGGCAGGGCATGGCGACCTTCTCAGCCCGCGGGCCCCTCCCCGTCCTCTGAGGCCCTCTCCCCACCACAGGCATGCCCCCCCCCATCTCAGGATCACTGCACCCTGGGGCTCCCCCTCCCTGTCTCCTTCACCCCGAGAAACCACCTGCCCCGCAGCCGCCTTGTCAGCCCCGCTCACGGACTCCCCTCTCCTGCAGACCCCCTGCGTGGCGGAAGAGGAGCAGAACCGAGGGGTGGGGGTCCCCAGCTCTCCGGTGCGAGCCCCTCCAGACTCACCGACAACCCCCGTGCGGTCTCTGCGCTACCGGAGGGTCAACAGCCCAGAGTCGGAGAGGCTCTCCACTGCGGACGGGCGGGCGGAGCTACACGAGAGGAGGTGGGTCTGGGACCTGGGGAGGGTCCAGGGCACTGGCTCCCTCCGCCCCAGCGCTGGGCTGGAGGAAAGGTCAGGTTCAGGCAGAGGCGGGGGTGAGGGTTGGGGGGGTTGCGGGGCGGGAGGGCGGGGGCTCAGAGTGCAGAGAGGCTTGTACCTGGTCTTCAGCCGGACCCAGTCCGTGCCGGGCCCAGCGCTGGCGGTTGGAGCTCAGAGGAGCCGAGGTGGTGACGGCCAGCAGGGCCCGCGGGTCCGGCGGGCGGAGGAGCGCTGTCCCGCCCTCCGGGGCCCGGGCCGGGTAGGACCTCACCCCCCAGCAGAGCCGAGGCCTTCTCTGCTCCAGGAAGGGGTGTCTACCCCAGGCCCAGCTCCGGAGAGAGGGCCTTCCCACACCCAGTGCGCGGCCCCTCCTCCGGATTCTGCCCCAAACCACACCCCACCTCTGGGCTGGGCACCGCGCTCCTCTGCGGTGCGGAGACCCGACAGGGAGCTCCGTCCCAGTCCCCGTGCTGACGCCAGGACAGAGGGCTGATGCGGACGTCTTCAGGGAGCCGGCAGTCTCACGCTCACGCTCACGCTCACACACACTCACACTCACACACGCTCACAGTCACATTCTCACACTCACATTCTCACACTCATGCTCATGCTCACATTCTCACACTCACGCTCACACACACTCACACTCACACACTCACACACGCTCACACTCACACGCTCACACACACTCACACTCACGTTCACTCGCTGGCCTCATTTTCACCAGGGTAGCCTGGAGAGTTCCAGAACAGGGAGGAAGGAGGGAGGGCGGTTTGGAAGGGACATGATGGAGCAGAGAGGCGGGCAGCCCTGCAGAGCCAATGGTGGGCAAGAGTGAGCCTGTTTCAGGACGGTGGGCAAGGAGAGGGGTGAGGAGAGGTTTCTCCGGAAGCGAGTTTTCAGGATCTCATAGGCAGGGCAGAAGGTTTGGGTGGGCCCCGGGGTACTGGGGAGCAGGGGAAAGTCTGAAGCAGATGGGATTGGGGTTCCCCTGTCCCCCCTCAGTTCCCACGCCCCTCCTCACCCCTGCTCTTCAGCCCCCTCTTCCTTGGGCACCCCCTCTCCTCTGTGTCCCTGGAAACAAAGTGTCTCAGGGAAGGAAGGACAGCAGCCATCTACATGGGACTCTCAGTGTCAGGCCCTGGGCGGCTCCCTCAGGGTGTTTTTATTCTAACAAAATGGATTTATTAGCAAATCCATAAAAATAGTGTGTACAGTCAGAGTGGGCAGGTCCTACGTCGGCCGGCAGCAGTATGTTGGGAAAGCCCACAGGGGGCTGCGACCTGCACCCCTCCCCCTCCCCTCCCTGCCGATGTGGGGGAGGATGAGCCAGCCCCTTGCCCGCAGGCCGAGGGCCAAGCCTCCCCGCCCAGGGCCAAGCCTCCCCAGTTGGCATTTGGGAGGGGACTGTTCTTCCTTTTGTAGTGGCCTGTCCTTCACTCACTGTCAGCCAGGAGTCCCCCACGCTGGGGCCGTGCACCCCTGGATGACAACCTCGGGAAGTAATGTGAGGGTCTCAGCACAGTCTAAGCCTTAGGCTCTAAGGTAACAGTGAGGGCTGTCCCAAGGCAGGTCCGTGCCCCAGTGTGAGCAGTCAGACGGGCCCGTCCCTGCCTGGCAGAGCTCACAGCCCCTGGGAGGCAGGTACGTAAACACGGGCTCTGTGCTGAGAGGGGGCACAGGGAGCACCGGGCTCTGTGCTGAGAGGGGGCACAGGGAGCACCGGGCTCTGTGCTGAGAGGGGGCACAAGGAGCACCGGGCTCTGTGCTGAGAGGGGGCACAGGGAGCACCGGGCTCTGTGCTGAGAGGGGGCACAGGGAGCACCGGGCTCTGTGCTGAGAGGGGGCACAGGGAGCACAGGGAGCACCGGGAGGGCAACTATCCACCAAGGAGGATGGAGAGGCTCCAAACCGGTGACATCTGAGCCGGGATGGACAGCACAGGGTGGAAGGACAGGCCTTGTGGAGGGAACAGCATGCGCAAAGGCACAGAGGCATGAGCGTGTGGGCCATTTGGGGAAAGCGTGTGAACCTGAGGTGGGTCTGGCAGAGGAATGGAAAACGGGGCCTGAGTCTGGCGGTCGAGGGCCTTGGCGCCACACTAAGGAATGTGGACTTTTCCTCGGGGCTGGGAGCCCCTGGAGTTGTTAGAGGTGGTGAAACCCGCCAGGCAGGGCTGCAGGGTGGGAGTAGAAGAGGCTAGAAAAACCATCTGCAAACCCAAGGGCCAGGCGTCGGCCCGGGATGCAGCAGGAGGGAGCGCCTGGTGGGTGTGAGCACTGGACAGGCAGCCGGAAAGCTGGCTTAGGAAGATGAAGGTTCCTGGGGTGTCTGGGAGAGCATGCCTGAGCACAGGAAGCGGGCTTTAGTTCCTGTACGCTACATTCCTGGAACACAGTAAGCATGTCGAACGAATGCATGAGTGAATGAATGGGAGCTTTACTGGGAGTGAGGGCAGAGGGTGACAACCCAGGAGGTGACGGGGCCGCTCCCAGGGTGGGAGAGGTGCCGTGGTCAGGAGGGTCCAGACGTCGCGGGCCACCCTGCCACCTGTGTGGAGCCCTGGGGGCTCCAGAGAGGCCGGCACTGAGCCCCACCCGGCTGGCTTTGCAGGTCACGAATGGATCTGCCCGGCTCGCCCTCGCGCCAGGCCTGCTCCTCGCAGCCGGCCCAGATGCTGTCAGTGGACACGGGCCAGGCCGACCGGCAGGCCAGCGGCCGCATGGACGTGTCAGCCTCCGTGGAACAGGAGGCCCTGAGCAACGCCTTCCGCTCGGTGCCGCTGGCCGAGGAGGAGGACTTCGACAGCAAGGAGTGGGTCATCATTGACAAGGAGACAGAGCTCAAGGACTTCCCACCGGGGGCCGAGCCCAGCACATCGGGCACCACGGACGAGGAGCCGGAGGAGCTGCGGCCGCTGCCCGAGGAGGGCGAGGAGCGGCGGCGGCCAGGGCCAGAGCCCAGCGCCCGGCCCCGGGGACGCTGCATGCAGACGCTGGCCGAGGAGGACCTGCGACAGACACCGTGCCAGTTCCCGCCACCCCAGCTGAGCCAGGCCGATGGGCGGTCAGAGACCTCGCAGCCCCCCACGCCCGGCAGCCCTTCCCACTCACCCTTGCACTCCGGACCCCGCCCTCGACGGAGAGAGTCGGATCCCACTGGCCCTCAGAGGCAGGTAAGGTTGGGTTTGCACCCCACACCCCTCCCCTGGACACCCACAGTCTTGGCAGGAGAGCCAGAGTGCAAGGGCTCTCCCGACCAGCCGTCAACAGTTCATGCGTTGATGCAGGCAGACAGGTTCCAGGGTGTGACATTCTGCGTGGGGGGCAGACGGGGCTTCCGAGAGGAAGTGCCCTCCAAGTTCTGAGTTGAGTCTTGCGTTATGGGCTGAGTCACCAGGTGACAGAGCAGGAGAAAGGCCTCCCAGGCCAAGTGGCCAGCATGTGCCAAGGCCCAGAGGAGGCCATCAGAAAGCTCTGTGCTGGTTGCATGTTGTAACAGGGAGGCTGCGAGGCGGGCCCTGGGCCCTGTCCTGGAGGGCCTTGGGGCTAAGCTAAGGGGTTGGAGCTCGATCCGAAAGCTGGGTAAGCCACCGGCGTCTTTTAGACAGGGGTGTGACAGGATACATTGGGCCTTCTGAATGAGCCCTCTGGCTGCTGTGTGGAAGGTGGGTCGGAGGCCACAGAACTCACAGCAGAAAGGCCACGTGCAGGCACCAGCAGGGGAGCGCCCTGGTGGCTCGGACCCGGGTGGGAGCTCTGGGTGTGGGTCAGGTGGACGTAGCCAAGAGGTGTTGGGCTGTGACAGGCTGGAGGGGGTCTCGGCTGATGCCCGGCATTCTGGCTGGACGGCGGTGCCGTCACGGAATGGTTTGAAGGGAACATGGACTGAGATTTGGACACAGGGACCTTGTGGTTCTGTGGGCTGTCCACATGGAGGCCTCAGAGCTCAGGAGAGATTTCAGCTGGAGACAGGATTTGGGAGTCATGGAAGCCACAGAAGTGGGTGATGTCACCCAAGACCCTGAGTGGGGTGGGGAGAACCAAGGCTGAGGGCAGAGCCAGGAAACACTCAGCCCAGCAGGGGGCCAGGTGTGGGGGTCTGAGAGGGAAGGGGTTTGGAGAAGGACTAAGAGGGGCCAAAGCTGGGAGGAGCGCCCGAGAGAGGAGTCCTGGAGACCAGGGAAGGGGTGGCTGAGGGGGTGAGGGCAGCAGGGAGGGCAGGGAGGTTTCTGTGCTTGGGGCGGGCTCCATGCGGGAGGTGAGCCCTGAGAGCCAGGAGGAACAGACAGTGTTAGGGGGGAACCGAGCCAGGGCAGGAGGGACCCTGGACTGGGCACAGGGGCGGGCATGTTGGGGGCCCTGGGAGGACCCGGTTAGGCTGCAGCGGCACCTTCTCGTATGGGAGGACTGAGGGACAAGGCTGGAAGGACAGGGGTGGGGGTGGCCAAATCGCGAATGGCCGGCTGAGGATGCGCAGCCGAAGGCCACTGGCCGGGCCTGGCTTCTCTGTGTGGGGAAGAGCTGACCTCTGTCTGATCCAGAAAGTGGCGCCAACTCTTACCGGGTGCCGAGCGGGGCCCGTGTTCTCTCAGAGGCTGGGAGAGCCCCGGAGGGGGTGCCGGGGCTCAGGGGCTGTGCCGCGGTTCACTCGGTCACCTTATCCCTTTATTGTGCCACATTGGAGACGTGCACCCGGAGATGGGACCGTGCGGGGCCAGGGCCAGTTCTGCTTCGTGCTCAGATCCGGAGGCCCGGCCCCGGAGCATGCGGCGCCCTGAAGAAGGGCAGGCAGGGCTGTATTCAGCCCCATCCCTGTGTCTAGCAGAGGGGACTCTGAGTCAAGGTCCAGAGGAGTGTGCACCTGGCCTTGCCCGGGACTCTGGAGAACTGGGGGCTCAAAAAGAGGGTTCCGTGAGCCCCCACCCAGAGAGGTCTTAGCCCGTGTGGGAGGCTCGACCGGGGCAGTGTGTCCAGCACGACTGTGCTGCTGCCCTGAGCATCGTCCCCTGGGACCAGCACTGGGGAAGCAGTAGGAGCAAGATCTGTTTGGGACTCCGTCACTGCCCTCTCACTTATTCACTTATTCGCTCATTCGTTTGTTCATTCCACACCTCCTGGGCATCTACTCTAGGCCGGGTACCCGAGGCATCAGAGGTCATATGCACAATAGGTTGTGCCCACAGGAAGCACGAAGTCTAGGGAGGAGCCAGTCTGGGGCAGAGAGAAAGCCCAGAATTAGTCAGGAGGCCTGGATGCTGGGCCTGGGCTCGGCCAGTCCCTTCCTGGCGACTGTGTGCCAGTTGGCCTCAGAGTCAGCTGTCTGGGAGGCTCTTCTCACTTCAGACTCCCACGCGTGTCCTGGGAGTCATCCTCCCACTGGGGAACTCTGGCCAGGGGGGTGAGGAGGGAGGTTTGCGGGAGCAGGTCCAGGCCTGCTGTGCAGTCAGCCAGCCAGTCTTGGGCTCCGTTTCTGCTCGTCCCGTGAGCGATGGCTTATGTGTCTAGAGGGGTGTTGGGTGACTGCAGGCCTTGGTTTCCTGACAGAAGAGAGGTTGGTCAGCATTCTGCACATGTGCGTGTGCATTTCTGTGTCGGCTCAGCTCTGGGGTGCGACAGTGTGTCCATCGTGTGCACATGTGCGTGGGGGCACAGCAGCGCGCCCGTGTGAGGTCGGGAGTGGATCTGCGAGTGTGTAGAGAACCACAGAAGCCTGGAAGGCGACTGACACTCACAGTGACAGTTCCAATGGCAATAACAGTGGCTGTCGCTGCTCTCAGCACTTCCCCACTGTGCATGTGTATTCCCCACAGCAATACGGCGAACGGGCAGCCCCCACGGAAAAGTAAGGCAAGGAGGCTCGGAGGAGCTGTCGTTAGCCCAGGGTCACCAGCTGGTAAGTGGCAGAGCCGGGATCTGAATCCAGGCAGCTGGCTCCAAGGTCCTGCTCTCGGCCACTCAGTGTGAGGCCTGTGTGTTTAGGAGAGGAGCAAGCACAGGCCTGAGAGAGCAGATGGCTCGGGTGGGGTCAGAGAGTCAGACTGGTGTGTGTGTGTGTGTGTGTCTATGTGTGTGTATGTGTGTGTGTATGTGTGTGTATGTGTGTGTATGTGTGTGTGTGTGTGTGTGTGTGTGTGTGTTTTGCACGCACTGGCTGGGCCATAACAGCAGGTGTGCCCACAGGGCGTGGCATGGTTAACCAAGTATTTCAGTTCAGGGTGAAGCTGAGACCTTCCTTGGTCAAGGGGATGGAAAGAGGGAAAATGGACGGGCATATTTTTCCTTTTTTTTTTTTTTTTTGTCTGTAGAGAGTCCTGAGCTTGACTTTGTGGGGGCTCCCACACCTGGCTGCAGCTGGAATTACAGTTGGTGGTACTCCCTCCCTCCCCCCACCCCCAACTAGGTTGAATGCTTAGGGCAGGCAGGAAGTCTCTATAGCAGCGGTTCTCAGCCTGTGGGTCGCGACCCCTTTGGGGGTTGAATGACCCTTTCACAGGGGTCGCCTAAGACCATCGGAAAACACTTATATAATTACATATTGCTTTTGTGATTAATCACTATGCTTTAATTATGTTCAATTTGTAACAATGAAAATACATCTTGCATATCAGAGATTTACATTACAATTCATAACAGTAGCAAAATTACAGTTATGAAGTAGCAACGAAAATAATTTTATGGTTGGGGGTCACCACCACATGAGGAGCTGTATTAAAGGGTCTCGGCATGAGGAAGGTTGAGAACCACTGCTCTATAGACACTCTGCGCAAGGAATCCCTCCCTCCCAGACCTAGCTTGTCTGCGCAGTCTCCTCATAGCAGCAGTCCTTAAAGATATAGGCACCTGTAACTCTGTCGCCTGCCCCCGTGAGGAGCAGGGACGCGGATACTGTGGGCCTGGCACACGTTTAGACCAGGCCCCCAGGAGTGGCTGGTGTGCGTGCCATGATACTTTCGCTGCTTTTCCTTACACACACCTGGGTTCTTCGCTGGGAATTCAAGGTGCGAATTGGAAGTGGCTGGGAAAGCGAGGGCAGAGGGGAGAGTGTCGGTCAGCGTGTGATTTGGGGGTCGGTCAGCGTGTGATTTGGGGGCGGATGTTTGCCAGGTCGTCTCTGGCTGATAACACAGCAGTCAGCATGCCCGGAGCCCATGGACATTTGCTGGCTCCACGAGGACATTGCCTTGCCAAGTGCCAGGCAGTTCACAGGGGCCAAGGGACGAAGGCAAACAATGTGGCTTTCAGAGCTCGCAGTCAAGAGGGGTGGGGTGGGTGGGTGGGGTGCAGCGTGTAGACCTGAGGTTCTGAGGTTCATGATCAAGGGCCCGGGAGGCACAGAGAGCTCTTCTTTGCCAGGAACAAGGAGACTGCCTGGCAAACGGGAGGGTCTCCCAGCGGGGATGCTCCAGCTGCGGATGGAGACAGTCGCAGGTGGCACTGGCCGGAAGGGCAGGAGCATGCTGGAGTGAACCCCCGGCAGCGGACCAAA